GAAAAGAGAGAAGATGTACCACATAGCACCCGAATTGCACAAGATTGCTGCGTCGCGGCAATCCTCCGGATCCAGCCGTCTTTCTTCCTGATCGCCTGTGAGCTGCCTAGTAGGTTTGCCTCCGACTTGTTGGATTCTGACGTGAACGTCTGGTTCGACAAGATCGAGGCATCCTTCGAAGATGCCGTTCGTGGAAGTGTCTTGGAGCTTTTCCAGAACCACGTCTTTAGCTGCCTTTGCCTCGTCTTCCAATTCATACACCTTGGGTCCTCCTCCCAGCCGTCGCCCGTTTCCATTGCTGCTGACCCAGTGGCCGCCACCGTTATTCCAAATACCTGCTCCCTCATCCAGTGCCGGCAACGTGAGGAACGATCGAACGTTGCCTTGCTGGTCGCTGCAATCGTAGTTGTCCGCTAACTTGTATTCGAATGCAACATTGTATCTCTCGCCCTCAACGATGCCCATAAGGCCAACGACGCATAGAAGCAAAAGAAGAATACCCATGATGTTGTTGTCTGTTACAAACTTGCTGCTGCCAAAATAAATTATAACATAAGTTTGGTCAGGAGTTTTTGATGTGTGGGTTCACTTTACTGTAGCACTTTTGGGCCTTGTTTTGGGAACAAGAGGCATTGACTTGGTGACCGGTGAGATGGTTCCGCTTGTTCCTTTCTTTCTAGTTCTTTCGCATTTTGATATTCAGACTCAAAGACTCAAAGCCTGTTCAAAGAAGAATGACTTAATGAAAAATGACTAAATGACTATTTCTATCCTAAATAAAAGTAGCTTATGTGGTTTTACAGGTTCATCGAGTGAGATGCTCTAGATCTCAATGCCAATTAATTGCTTTGCCTTCCAGGGAGTTATTGGCTTGGCGACATGATTGGCCTTCAAAACCACATCCTTGGCCTCAATTATAAGATTAAGAAAAGCTGCTTGGGTATTCAACTACTTTGTACCGCAACTCAAATAGTTAATCTTAAAGCTAGGGCGATTTGAAGTCTTGATATATTGAGTTAACAGCCTGATCGCAGTTCTCCTGCCCCTTTTTCACGATCAATAATAAGCCAATCCACGTAGCATTCTGAATGACTACCTGCCATCTGCGCTTGACAAACCAACGCCCACAATTGGATGGGTGGGCGTCTGGCCAGTCTACAGTGTACGGTAGCTACTAGCTAGCCAGTGTGGGGTACTGTACTACGAGAATGGTTATCCCGTTGATGTAATCAAAAAATGGCTAAAGTCCACTAACACTTCCCCACCCTGTAAAAATCATTTCTGGCAATCCCGTAGCTCGCGAAGCACGACTGAGTCACCCGTTGAGTTTTTTATACACTTCTTCATATGAATACAAATATAAAGCTTTGTCGGCTTGGAGTCATTTGGGGGGCGAGTACCAGTGGTTACATTGTAAAACTAGTTGTCTACAGTTTTTCTATAGTAGACTTTTGAGAAGCCATCAAAACACACTTTCACCGGTGAGTCCACACAATTCTTGTGTCCACGAACTCAACTCTTTCTCTAGTGTAGGCAGGACATACACACACAACATTGACAAGACGGAAGCTAGTCACATTTTCGCAGATTTACAGCTCTACAACTACAAACTACAACTACAACTACAACTAACTGCACTCGAATACCATCTAACTACAACACTAGACGACTAGACATTACACCACCTCTAATAGTCATACTTGACATCACGGAGGGCTGCAAGGAGGCCATTCCACAGGTTCCCCTCATTGGCTCTTCGCCAAATAAACTCGAAGAGGCAGCCTTGAACCTGTTTTGTGATGCAGGAAGTGGCAAGCTGTGAGTGAAACAATGACAAAACGAACGATAACTGAAACGGTGATTTCCTGCACTCACCTGTTTGGTGGTCCGCTTGTGGACTGGCACCATCCTCTTAATTCCATTCCAAGTCCCCTCGATGGTATTGGTATGGACCTGCAGCGAACCAGCAGGGGAAACAACTGTCAGCTCAAACATGAACAAAGTGTCTTCAACACGAGAAAATGTACGTACCTGAGTAACGGGGTCTTTGAAGTGCTTGGAATGGTTGACACCTTCCCACTGATACAGTGGCAAGGTCAAGCCATCTCCAAGGTCCATGTCCAAGTACTCGATAGCAAAGTAGACCTTCCAGTGGTCGCTCCTGATGATGGAGCCAGGTTTTATGAACTTCAGGATGAGAGGCAACAGGGTGTCGCTGTCTCTTTTTTCAACTGTTACAGCAAACATCTTCCTCTCTGCAGTCAACTCCACTCCACCAAACACCCAGACATCCTCAACTCTGTGTCCACGATGATACTTTCTCTTGCCAAATTTGCTTTCGTCAATCTCCACCACCACTTCCTCTCCTCCAATCTGGCCATCTCCACCCCAACAACGCAAATCAGTTGGTGCACATAGTCCATCCAATTGTGGACTTTCGTCTTAGACCACCCTGTAAACATAGCAATCTGTTTAGCTGTAGCTCTGGTCAACCAGTAGTGCAAAAATTTCATTGGATGCTGCTTGCCGCCTCGAAAGTCAGCAAAAAAAGTGCCATGGAACGCTGACTGTGTCCATGTTTTGCCATTCGCTCTCCTGCATCCACGGCACCTGCACCTAAGCATCTGCCCACTATCCGGTGGCCCCAGTCGGGTGTCACACAGAGGGCAGAAGGTAGGGAATGAAATGATGCCCTCATCAACTAGAAACTGAACCGTGGATTGCTCAGACCGGAATAGAAAGTTGATGGCATCAAGAGTAGGGACTCCCTCCCCTTTGTTTGTATTCGTCAGAATGCTCATATAGTCCCGGGAAGGACTGTCATGGTGGAGAGAATGCTCAACTGGATCCATGTTTTCTTTGTAATGAAGACAAAAAAAGTGGGATGTAGAACAGAACAAAAAGACAGATCCGGCACATCTTTTTGCATTCCCACGTACGAATGCGCATGATCATATACCCTGTACAAGGAAAAACACGGTAGCAATGATCACGACCATCAAGCAAGTAGACAGATAATAGAACCTAATTTAGTCTTTAAACTCTTAATACTACTACTAGTCAATCAGCCACCAGCATCTCTCTCATCGCCTCTTGTTCATCTCTACTGCTGATGGTACCGGCCAAGCATTCGGCAATGACACTAGGCTAGCCGTTGCTTCACGAGCAAAGGGAGCTCCCTCCAACACCCCCACGATCAAAAAACTGCCTCCAACACCGGCCTCTCCTCCAGTGCAAACATCGTATCTGCAGTAGCAATATAGTCGTTGCACTCCTTTCACGGACGCATCTTGTGCATCTCATCTTTGCCCTCGCTGGGAACTTTGCACCGCCTCCGACCTGCCTCCAAACTGCCACCAACACGGCCCCCTGTAGGCACATGTACTGATTATACAGGGATTAGAACTCCCTCCTGCATGGTTGATTGTGGCTCTTTTCTCTCATTATTTTGCTCATCCCAAAAAGCAAATTGCCTCCTCGCCAACCATGTCCCTCAAGGATGACAGGGCTTATGCCACAGACGATGACGGCACCGATGGAAAAGCCCCCGTCATGAACCAGACCAAGGGTTTCTTCATTCCCACTCCTAAATACACCAAGGGAAATAGCAAGGAGAAGAGCAAGGAGAACGATGGAAAGCGTAAGTTCAGCGATGCATTTGGAGGGGGCTTTTTTTCTGATGTTGTCTGGAACAGTGTCGGCCTAAGCAACAAGAAGAAATCCAAGCCCACCCAAGTCACCGAATCCAGCAACCATTCTTGGAAGAACAACGCCGACAAGAACACTTCCAAAAGCAAGAAGAATCCTGTTGTGCCCCGCAAGAACAGCACTATCAAGATTGCTCCTCCATCGTCCAGCCCCTCCTCCAATGATTCGTCCGATGATGAAGTTGAGATTGTTGCTCCACCACCAAACTACAAGAGGAAGGAGACAAGTGTCCTCCTAGATTGCAAGGACCCCAAGAAAACTACACGTGTCAAGCAGGCCCTTCTTGAACCAGATTCTGAGTCAGACGATAGTGATGACAGCATTGACTCGACATCCAATGCGATCTTCAATGCCCCTCCAAGGAATGGGCGCACACGAAGAATCTCCACAAAAGCTGAGACTATCCGCAAAACCACCCAAGTTGCCATTCCTGGAACAGCTTGGAGGAGTATGCTCGATGCTCACACTGGGACCAGCATGGAACTTGGTAAGATGCGTTCCACAGTTTCTACAGTGAGCAATCTGACTTCCACCGTAGTGACTGAGATGAAAAGCATCGCCCTGATGCTCCAGGGCCTTCCGAAGGGGACTTCCAGAGAAGTCATCAATGGTCTCTCTAAGGCTTGGCGTGATCTTGGAGAGGGGCTTCGAACAGTAGCTGTTTCTGTTGACTCGAAGATGGACAAGGTGGAGACTCGACTGGCCGCTAAGTTAGAGGATGCACAAGACAAGATTACTGGGTTGGAAGCACGTATTATGACGAAGCTCAAGGACTCAACTACTGACTTAAAGAGACACACCACTCAGAAGTGTGCTGCCGGACGCCCAAGTGACTCATTGCAATACACGGCTCATAGCCTTATTCGCGACTCGATCCTAGATAGGGTTTGAGTTCGACTCATGACCGAGTCTCTCGTGAATAGTCATTTGA